TAATTCGGTGAATGGGAACCCTTATAAGGAATGTTTTTCTCCAAAAGGGGAAAGAAAGCATGATTTTTTCCAAGTTCCAAGTAAGCTGCTACCAAAGAGCAGATAAGAAAGAAAGCCATCAATAAAACTACCATTAATCAGATGACTTCTCTTTTTCCGCTTGTGTCAGCTGAATTCAGTAATTCACTGAGTCAGTTACAATATTATTATTAAGAGCTTTGTAGCTGTGCTTGTGAATATCACTGGTGTAAACATTAGAAACACTGATACTGTACATGTATTAAAACACCTACCAATCAAGCTAGCTCTCTGGGTATCAAAGGTAAAGACAATAGTCCTCTCATAATAGAGATTTGTGCCTGTATGCCAGGTGCAAAAATAACACATATATTTGTTGTGTTATTGCTTGTCTAGGCCAGATTGGGGAAATATGCTCAGATAGAGGTCACATTTTAGAGTCTGGTTTCAGCTCTATCCACAGCTGTCTCCTGTAAAAGGCATCAAAATATAGAAAAACAATGCATGAGCAGATCATACTGGGTGACCTTACAGTGTTATGGCAGGAAATTCAACCACCAATCAATTTCCTTTAAAACTATGGAGATAACATTTGAGAGGTGGCCACACCAGGGCCATCTCATTTCAGTTGGAGTGAATAGAAAAGACGTTCCATTGAATGTTAAAAAAAAAAAAAGATGTACAGCTGTCTCAGCCGTGCTCTCTGATATTGAAATGCATCAAAGGACAAAAAGAAAAGATACACATCTGCTCATATTGTAACAGATCTTTCAAATGCCATTCATGAACCTACTGATCATTTGATCTTCAGTAAGAAACTGAACCATACTGAATGAACTTACAAATTTAAATCATGTTTGCTGTATGTTATTTATTTATTTAGCTTGTCTTTCTAATCTTCACAAACTGATACAAAGAAGCATGTGTTCACTTTAAGTACCCCTTTTAAAACTGACCCACAGCTGCAAGAGCACAGAAGCAGGAAGCTTTTATGTATTATTAATGTCCAGATATGTACAAATTTTCATTTGTGGTGAAACAGCAACATGAGCTTTCCAATTCAAAAGTCAATTTCTGTGAATTATGACCTGAGATTATTATTCACTTATCCCATGTTCATTAATAGCAAATAGAATGTCTAGGATTAAGAAGGACCTAACTACACAGTTACCTGCATTACGTGTCATTACACAATCCTTCATTTTGAGAATGAAGTACTTAAAACGTCACACTCACAGCTTTTAATGTACAGGGAGAGTGTGTTTGTAATGCCTTCATAATGTACAGTATGTCCCATTAGATATTGTGTCTGTTCAGGGCAGACCACTGAGATGTTGCTGGTATAATTGTATTGGTGAATGCACAAAACACCAGATTGCCTTGCAGATGTCTTGCGATGAGTGAGATGCGATAATAACTGCAATGATGATAATAATGACTAAAAGTCCTTTAACTGAGAAATTCTTCTGTTCATTCAGAGGGAGGGGGTTTTATCTGATCATACAGTAACACACACACACACAGAGCATCCACCAAAAGCACACAGATCCAATACATGTTAATTGCAATGACTACAAAAGAAAAAGAGGAAATACTGAATGTGAACTTGTGATTCATACAGCATGACACACTTGGTGAAGGGCAAAAATTTTCACAAGCATCTTCTTACAGTGATGGCAACTGATGAAAGTGAGCTGTTACCTTCAGAACAGCATTTAAAATGTCCAGATTCAAGAAACAAAAAATCCTCTACAACATAAATATCATATCTCATAAGGATTAATATCTAATCAGAAAAACAATCTGACATTGTCTTATCTTATTATTTCTTATATGTTAGTTGGATTTGCCCATCTAAACCATAATGAACTTTATCACTAGATATTGGGATATACCTACAAAGATCTTGTAGGTATATCCCATCACTAGATATTGGGATATACCTACAAGATTGACAGTTGCATTGAAATGATTTTATACATGCTTCTTGTAGCCAAAAACAACTGCTCTTTCAGTGGGATCACAGCAAAGCAGCTAACTGAAAACATCAAACCATGATTAGTTCAAAGTGTCATCAACAAATTTTTTCTTATATACAGGTAGACCTCATCATCAGCTGTCTCAAGAGGAGAAAAGACAAGGAAGAAAGAGATGGGTTAACAAGAGGTTTCTTAGCAACTGTGCATGCTCACACTAACCGGCTAAAGGCTGACTTTAAACATCCTACCTCACATGGCTGTTTTATGTGCTGTATGTGCTTGTCCTCCATGATGACACTACTGCACTGACAGGAAAGTATTCATTGGGATAATATTGTTACTTCATGCTTCTTGACTGACATACAATTGAAACAGTCCAGCTTTATTCAGTAAAGCTCCATTAAAGTAAATTTGGATTAACAGTGAATCCAATTTGTTATTTATGTTGTCAGCCCCACTGAGAATCAGTACCTAACTCTGCTGCTTTAAGCATCTACTGTAACTGCTTGTAGCTCAGTGTTTAGTTTTCTGTTTAGCACTTGCAAAGCCTGATTGAAACAGTCTGCTACCTACCCATTTGTAGAAGAAGCAAAATCACAAATATTTATGTTTTAGTAACTAAAACAGCCTTTGCAATATAAACAGAGGAACTGATTACTGTGTCAGATAAGCACCCTTGATTTGTTAGCAAAAGTACTGCGTCATTCAGGAAACCAGTAGAATGTACAATCCACAAGCTGTGTGAACTGCAAAGGCAACAACGAAGCACTCACCAGCAGCCGTGAATCTCTAGCTGAAGCATTGAACAACTTCTTAGCTCACTTCTAACAACTACCAACAGTGTGGCACTTGCTCCATAATGTCATCTCACAAGAAGCAAAAAGACCTGATGGAGTGAGGGTTCTCCCTGTATGATTAACTGGTAGAGGTACTCACCAACATTTTTAACCTCTCTGTCCCAGTGCACTGCCCCCAGATACAATGAGTTTACTACCATCATTCCTGTCCTCAAACATATCTTCATCAGAGGCCTCAATAACTGCAGAAAAGTTGCACTAATCCTGACTGTCATGAAGTGCTGGTCCTAAGGCATAGTTAATCCTCCCTTTCACCTGGATCAAGATCAATATGCCTACAGGGCCAACGGGTGAACAAACGATGCCACCATCCACATAGCACTGACACACCTCAAACACCAGGTGACATATGTGACAGCTTGCTATTCAGATTTATCATTCCAGCAGAACAGTCACAAAACTGCCCTCTCTCAGCCCACATGCATGTAGATAAGGGACATTTTAACAAACCGCCCCCAGGCAGTTAGGCTAGGTCCCCATCACTCATCCCCACTGCTGCAGCATACATATGCCTATGAGCTGAGAAGCTCTCTATACTCCAAATACTCCAATTACTTGATATGTTTGCATCTAACTAGAATGCAGTTACTGTGTCCGTGAACATATGTAGGTAATAATACAGAACTGATCAACTGAAAATCAATGTATATCTGAGGTAAAGTCAACAATAAATTCCGTTTTATTGTACTGTTATCCAATGACAATAAAGGCTTTATATTCTGTTCTATTAGGGGGATGTGGTATTGCCATATATACAAGTCAGTGTCAGGTTTGCTCGGCCGCTCTGGCCTCCCTCACCTTTCCTACTGTCTCTTGCCCATTAACACTAATCACGTTCACCTGTTCCTCACTCCCTTATCACCAGCTGCACTCGATTAGGTTGCTCACTATATTACCCGGTTTCACTCTTCAGTCACTTGCCAGTTCATTCTTGTCTCTAGGCCATTTTTTCTCCGTGTTGTCTCGTTTGTTTTTTTTTGTATATTATTATTCTCTAGCCAGCTAGTGTTTTGTGTTCTCCCCATGGACTGTTCCTCCGGACCGTGGCTCCACTCTCCCCTCCCAGGCAGGTCAATGCTCAGTTGCCTATCTGTTCTACTATTGTCATCATCTCTCTGTCTCCACCTTCAATAGCCACCATCACCACCGACCAGCCTAGGAGTGACCCAGCCTACGCAGCTCGGCCCAGCTCTCCATCTCCTCACCTCCTACTGTTGGTCAACACCCGGTTACTACTCATCGACAGGACTACGCCCTATTTCCCTCTGTGCATTTTGTTATTTCTCCTCATCACTGTACATAATAAATCACTGCTTGCTACCTGGGTCCGCCTCTTTCTCGTTCGCTCACTGGCAGGTGCGAACGGCATATAACAGTCAGGCCTTCTCTACTATGGCAAATTTAAAGTTAGACTGACCCTTTTTCAGGTTTAGGTGTAGTTTTTTTTTTTTTATTCCCAAACAATATAGTGGGAAGAATTGTTCACCAGGCAGATGCAGCTAAAGTCTGAGGTCAGAGATAAAGAATGTTATTTTTGGCAAGTACTGTACAGGCATCACCTTGTCTTACCATTGTATCTGTCTAGCCTTTCAGAGCTAGATACAATGGTACAATACAGATGCAGATACAATAGACAGATCAGTAGGAAAGTCTGTTTAATATAACTTTAAAATAAGCAAAACCTATGTATTCCAAACTCATTTGCACTATCCTTGTGCAATTTAGAAAATACAGGTTCGTGGAAAAGTCACGATAAATAGACAATCACATGATGCAAAGGTCTAGTCCATTTTGAGAATATGCTGCTTCAGTGCATTTATTGGTGTCTTTACTGTGATGCTGCCCCAACATACAACTACCTATACTAGCAGAAATCTGCTACTGTAGCTACATGGTATTGTTGTTGTTTTAAATACTATTTTAGATTATTTTATCTTATATTTTGTTGTAAACTCGAGTTAAATAGCCCACATAAATTAAAACAGTAAACACGGGAATTTCAGTAACCTCACAATAGCATTGTTCTTAAGAGCACTGCTTTAATATGACAGCCATGACAATATTAATGAAAAACAATTGTATTATGTATTATTATTATTATGTATTATTGTATTAAGTACACCAGCACTTGTTACACCAAGGGGCGCGGTAAGGCTGAAGATGCGTTTTCTGCCTAGTTTTGACTTTTGAGCGCGCAGTTTGTACAGTTTTGGCAAGAGGATTCTTGTTCCCACCTGTTCCTTCCGAGTCCGACTGGTGTATTTTGCGGAGAGATGTGCAGATCGATAATTAATGCCCCTACAGACGAGAGAGCGAAAGGGGTGGCATGACATTCCGTTAAGTTACAGTGTCAGTGTGATAAGATGAGGAGCCGACCACTCATCTTCCCTTTCTGACAGCTGCAGCTTCTGGTTCTCCGTCGAGTAAATCACAACTAGAAAGCAACAGGAGCACGGTAAAGTTTCTGCTTCTCTTTTACGCATGATTATTTTTCTGATTTCTATCGGGAAAGTGTCTCTTTTAGTCAACTGCTGCAAACTGCTGTATTGAATGTTTTTATTATGCGTCAGATTGTGTTTATGTTAATGATCGTATGTGAACAATATTATGTGGTATAATTTATTGTAACACCCAGCAAGTGCAGTTTTGTACGGAGCCTATAGAGGTCCAAAAGGGGCCATTTTTATTAAGTGCGCACAAGTTATTTATCACATAAGAACAAAGTAGTTTGTGTAAAGAAGTGATTATCTTGTACAGATAAGGTATTTATCCTGTCTTCTGGGAAAAGATTGTTTGGCTGCGTAACTTTAAAAGCACGCTGGCCCTATTCACAAAAACCACAGTAATAAGTTGAATTTACATTAACACTGTTGATTTCCCAAGTAACCTACTGGAAACATGGAGGCATGTATTGCTTTATTTGAACATTTAATTTGCTCCAGTATTTTATTAGAAGGTGAGCTGGTGGAAATCAGCTCTAGACCACTCCTTTTATGTGTATTCATGTTGGCCTGTTATCCTGTGCTCACTCTTGTTCCCATAAGATTATGACTTGTGCATATGACACCTCTCAGAATTTCAGGGGCTTCCTATTGACAGTTATACCTGCGTCACTGTGGTTGACACATTTATTGTAGCTAAAACATAATTGTGACATCATCCTGTATTTTCATATTTCCTTCTTTCTCATCCCTTCTCCATTGGCACTTGGATACTGTAACAGCAATGTCACAGCTTTATTACAAGAAAACTGACAACTCCTCATACAGGGATCGTATCCCTCTGCGGATTGTAAGGGCTGAATCTGAGCTTTCTGCCTTGGAGAGGGCCTTCCTGGGGGCTGTTGAGAAGGGGGACTACGCCACTGTGAAACAAGCCCTGGAGGAAGCTGAGATTTATTTCAGAATCAACATCAACTGTGTCGACCCCCTGGGACGCACAGCTCTGCTCATTGCCATTGAAAATGAAAACCTGGAACTCATTGAGCTGCTGCTCAGCTATAATATATATGTGGGTGATGCCCTGCTACATGCCATCCGTAAAGAAGTGGTGGGGGCTGTGGAGCTGCTACTCAATCATAAGAAGCCAAGTGGGGAAAAACAGGTACCATTACAGTGTTATGAATTGTTTCTGTTTTCAACCCAGGCTATCCCCAGTCAAAGTCTCCATGTGATTCTGACAGTGTTCCAGGGATACACGCTGCACGTTTGCCCCAATTTTTACAACTGTTTGTGTATCAAATAGTTTGATAACGGTATTCATTTTCTTGATATTTTTATAAATTTGTTTTTCAGTGCTGCCTTGTCTCCCTGTAATGGACTTTTGTGAAGAGAAAAGGATGCAGTTGTTTCCAACCAGGAAGTTATTTTGAGGCTAACTGAACCACAAGCCATTAGCTGTGTGCTTGTTGTTAGACAAGATGGTCAGAGACCCACCCAAGACATGAAATTAGACCCATCCAAACAAGTTCAGTTCCAGTGATGTGTTTAAAAAGCAGTGCTCAGTTAAAATAATTCTGTGCTGCAAATTTACTCCAATTTATGTCTGTTCATGTGTGTGTGTTCCTCTCTTGGTTTTCTGAAAAGGTCCCACCAATTCTTCTGAACAAACATTTTTCAAACTTCACCCCAGATATCACTCCAATCATCCTTGCGGCTCACACCAACAACTACGAGATCATTAAACTGCTTTTGCAGCGAGGTGTTTCCATACCTCAGCCACATGCTGTACGTTGCAACTGCGTGGAGTGTGTGTCCAGCTCAGACGTGGATGGCCTGCGTCACTCGCTGTCTCGTCTTAACATCTACAAGGCCCTTGCCAGCCCATCTCTCATTGCCCTCTCCAGTGAGGATCCTTTCCTCACAGCTTTTCAGCTCAGCTGGGAGCTGAAGGAGCTCAGCACAATGGAGAATGAGTTTAAGTCAGAGTATGAGGAGCTGTCCCAGACGTGTAAACAATTTGCAAAGAACCTCTTGGACCAGACTCGAAGCTCTAAAGAGTTGGAGATAGTCCTCAACTACCGTGATGACATCAATCCTCTGTTGGATGAGACCAGTAATGATCTGGCACGACTGAAACTGGCTATCAAATTTTCCCAGAAAGAGGTAAGTGCTTAGCCTCCTTTTTAACATCACTCCTGTGTCCACCAGCAGTACAACAACAGTTTTTCTGGATTTCTCCAAGTTGAAGAAGCTAACACAAGTAAAGAAAACTACAGAAATTTGTTCTGGTAACACTCATACACATACAGATATACTGAGACCTGGCAGAGTTTCATAGTACATATTGACACTTGTGGAACAATTACCTCAGAGAAGAAGCACAAGTAACAACATGGACTACATGACAAGAACAGTGCCAAGATGAGCTGTAAATGGCTTGAAATGGGTGGAGCGGTCCTTCGAGAGTTTACAACAATATATAATTGCCAGTTTGGCTCTTAGCAATGCATTACAGTAGTACTCTCAGACAGTCCCATGATGATTGGATAATTGGACATAATGATGGAATAAGTGATGTCCATTTCCCTGAAACACAAACTCATAATATTTTAATTAGGATGGGAACCTTTTACTGTCTTTTAACATCTTTTGTGGAGGATGTGTCCACTGGATATGATATCAGCTTTCTGGCATTTATATACATATGCTTTGGACACGCTGCATGTTTGCCCCAATTTTTACAACTGTTTGTGTATCAAATAGTTTGATAATGGTATTCATTTTCTTGACATTTTCATAAATTTGTTTTTCAGTGCTGCCTTGTCTCCCTGTAATGGACAGATGATCACTTAACAAAGCAGGAAATGAAAACAATAAAAATCTGAGCTAGGAGAAACTGAGACCTCTGGTCTCAATTCACCACAAAAAGAAAAGTTATTCTATCTGAGATTGTTTTGTTGTTTTCTACATAACAGGCTACAATATACTCAACCTATATACTAATATACTGTAATATAATATACCAACAAACAGATGTTTGAAAGAGTATAGTTTCATTTCAAGATCAAATATTTGCACCAGATGCCCCAAAATAAAACTACATATCTCCAGACTGATAGTTGTTTGCAGACTCAACATTTTAAGCAAGGTTGCAAGCAGTAGGAAGTAAGTAAAATTAATTTTGGCTTGTTTAATGCTTGTTCAGCCGTTCCCTAGCTGCACAGAGGTAGGCAGTGAGTGGTTGTTGAACGTATACTGCCAGTGTGGCATGTTGTGTGTATGCTCATTTGTTCATTAATGCTAATGACCCAACAAGTAACACACATCCTAAGCTGGGCTTTTCTGAGGGGCACCATTCTGTATTTCTGAGAAGCAAAGGCACCAAAATAGTTACAGAAATGTAATGGACTACATAGGCCACTAGCACTTACTCAATGTCAACATTATCAGTTGCAAAATGTTTCTTTCATTTAGCAAAGATGTTCTTTCATTTTTTATTCCCATTGTCTTCTGCATGCATTCTGCTCTAACCTTCCTTTTCCTATTTTACAATATTGTAAAGAAGTTTCTTTGTATGCAAATGTTTTCTTGGAGCTGTCATGTAAACTAATGATGACACAGTATGTACAGTACAGTGCATTGTATGTTTACTTTATTTGCTGAGCAGAGTGTGATAATTAGGTTATTAATAATTAAGTTTAATTACTGTGAAACTTAAAATGGAATTATAAATCCCAGCTCAATGTTAAGTTCATATTCTAAATTCCCATGATTACCATGATTCACATTCATAATTAAGAATCACAATGCCACATACTGTAGCCCAAAAACTCTTTGGGTTCTTTGCTGTACATACAAACTGCTGCAGTGTTACATAATGTATAATGATAGCTTGTTATTTTATAATTAAACTAGACAGCACTGAGGGAATGAAAACCTCCACTAAGGTAGCTCACTGTCCTCATAATGCCATTACGCCTAAAAATAATACTCACATGATAGTTTGACCCTCATAATATGAGTCATTGACCATAAAAAACCTACTTCTAGCATTTGGAATCACATAGATATCATTATTAATTTGATAGTTATTCAAAAAAGTATATTTCACTGGCAGTTTTCTTCTTTCTTCTAGCTCAGTAAGTTTTGGCGATATGTCAGATCTGTTGACACCCCACTGAATCAGCACTTTCAGCTAGAATTTGCTCTTAGTTGAAAGTCACAGTAGCATGTTTTTCATGAGCCCTATAAATTTAAACATCCTGGATCGCCACATCTGAGATCTTACTTGGATCCAGATCAGACTCTGGTAGATCTTACAGGTATGTGGATGTTTTTGTTCAATTTTTATCCAAGCATTATAGGCATTATATATGAGTTAGAAGTATGCAAAGCAAAAATGAAATTCTCACGATCCCCTGTACTTCCCATCTCAGACTTTTATTTTGTTGACTTATTTCCTCTGGCCCATTCCACCCTCATCTTCCCCAGCTTTACCCAAGCCCATGATTGACCCAAATTACCTGTCTGAGCTTTATATTCTCCTTACCTGTGACAGTTTGTTCCTGCATGCTCATTCTCAAGATGTACCTTTCCTGTCATGTTTCTTGGAAGAATGGAGTTTTTTTTGTCTCCTCTCCCATTTTGTGTTACTGTGCTATGTCGCCTATTGCCCCCTCTTAAGGACTCTTCCTTTTCATGGCTTTTGGCTTAGCTGCCTCTTATGTTTGGACTTGTATTCTGTTGTTATTTTGTATGTTACCCTGT